GAGAGAGAGAGAGAGAGAGAGAGAGAGAGAGAGAGAGAGAGAAGAAGGTAGCCAGTCTCTCCCTCATATAGAGGGAGGATGTAGAACCAGCCACTTCTCATGAGCTCTACTTGCTCTTATATACTCTACAAAGTAGAAGAAGACATGGCCTTCACGAAGAATCAGAGGGCCTGTCAGCTCTGCTATATACTATGTATCTGACTTTGGGTTAGCATCTTCGCTATTCTAAGTCTTAATTTTTTTTTATCCATAAGAAGAGGCAATAATAACATTGACACTGGCACCTGCTCTAAGAATTTAGTGAGGGTAGGCATGGAAAGAAAGCACTTTGTACAGCACCAGCATGTGGCAAATCCTCAAGGAGTGGACGCTGTGGTTACTATGAATATCTCCAAACTCCAGAGGCTCCTGGCCAGGGCTCTGATCATGTGGGAGACCAAAATATACACCAACTCTGAGGCCTTGACTCATCAGTTTACCTCCCAGATCTCACTCTCTGCATCTGCTTAGTAAACCTGAGACTAGATGACTTCCAAGTATCTTTCCAACTTTAAAGGGGAGAAAAGCAAACATGCACATATCCTGAAGAGGGTGCACAGAGTGAGTGCTTAGATAGTATTTGTGGAACTGAACCAAGTACTCATGCAACACAAATAAATTACTAGATAAATTGTGGAACTGAACAAAGTACTTATGCAATACAAATAAATTATTAGATAGGAGTAAGCTTAAAGGAATCAGGAAGACAAAATTGTCAAATAGAACAGGAAAAAAAAATGAAGGTCTCGAGGGACAAGACCTCCACACAGAAGCTTAAATTTAAACTGCTAAATATTGAGGACAAGAAGGCAGAATGAAAGAACCTCTCCCTTCCCCACACCAAACTGACCTGTAACCTGAGGACAGCCTGCTGCTTCTCAGCACAGGACAGAGGGTGTGGACTTGGACACCCTCTGTGGGATGGGCTCAAAAAGGGGCATCTCTCCTGATGACCAAGGATCCCAGGATGGGGGGCTTTACTTATGAGCGATCTATGCCGCTGTCACATACATGTCCTTGCAGTGAGCAACAGACGTCATCCAGCTTGTCTCATCAGGGCTGAGCCCCAAAGAGCCACCCTTGAGAAGGTCCCAGGACAGCTTATATGACACATTCAGAGGTCATGCCCCTACACAGAGTTAATACCACACACGCCTCTCCCACGCTCAGGCAATTTTCAATACACAAAGAGCTCACTGGGCTCTGGAGTAGGAAACTGATGTCATCCCCTTATTCACGGGGCTTCTAGTCTAGTAGGGAGGCAGCTCATAAACAACCAAACAAATGAAACAATAATGAGTTATAACTGCCACAGGGCTATGGAGGAAAGAAACAGCGAGCCTGGGGAGGGAGTAAGCAGCTGTTTCACTTGCTAGCCATGCCTGACTTAGTGACTTTTAATGCAGGAACATGGTCTCCATTACAGAAAAACAAAGGGTAGTAAATTTCTGTGGTCTTAATGTTACCTCAGTTCAGCCCTTCTCTTATTAGGACTTCTGCTCCCTGTAAGGCTGCCTCCGGCCCATCCCTCGGGGGCTGGCCTGCTAGAGGTTTTCCAGCTTTATATTCAAAGTCTCCCTGCTTGGGTCTCTAGGATCTGCAG